ACTAAGAAAGATCTACATGCGTCTCTTATTGTGGCAATGACTGAGAATGTGCTTTTTGCTTTGTATTCTCAAATTCAAAGCAGAAGGGGACACTTCTTGTGGCGCTCGAAAGAGTTTATTAAAGTTACCACCCAGAAAGGTTTGATTTCTCTCAGCTAGCCAGTGGCAGTTCTCGCAACGAGCAACACATATCCACTTGATCAATCGGGCGCTCACATCCACACATTCCATGACATTCTTCAGCTTGTTGTTGAGTTGAGATACTATCTCATAGGCTGACTGAATGGATTCGATGCTTCCAGACCCGAGGTTGTGCAGGGATGCTTAATGCTTAACGAGTCCACCCACTCCGTCACAGGCATTCTTTTCATGCCCGGTAGTGGCAAGCAGCCACTTTGAGGATGTGCACTTGGTGCGACACAACTCATAAAGTTGATACCTATTTTTAAATGGCTCGCTGCACCACCACTGGCATATGTCGCGTGACAGTATATGAGTGCTTTCTCATATGAAATTTCATGCACTCTACCTAGGGCGTAACAGGCATGTGCTGCGTCATGGTGCATATCGTTGCTTATGACAGCAAAAATGCATGGGGCTTTTAGTCTTGTGGCGACACAGGTGAAGATGGAGATTTGATTTTTATGCCAATGGTACGACTGCGTTTAGTTTCAGAGCAGGACATTAAAGTTTTCTGCTAAATCAAAATGCGGAAGAATGCTTGCACGCTGCTTGCACATCTTCACTTCATGAATAGCCACTGCTTAAGTGCAGCACATGTAATCGTGGGGAATTCATTTGGCCACTTGTTTGACGAGCTTTTTCAGGAAAAGGGTTGGAGACGTCTTCTTTATCATATTGCCATTTTCCCACTCAGCAAATGTAATTTTGTACTCGTCAAGCATTCGGATATTAGTCAAGGTGAGGCTTTTAGTCCATAGACAGCATTTGCACTTGCCCAACATAAAATCTGCTGTTTTGGAGCCGCAAAGGCACAGTTCTTTTATGCCTTCCAGTGACATTTCTCTACCAGATGCATTCTCGAGTGCAGAGAGGCAAAGATTTGCATTAGCACAACAAAGGCAAACATCATGTTTTTGTGCGAGCAACAAACTTTTGGACGCAGGCTGTAAAACTCTGACAGGCCAATCACAGTTTCGAGGTGCGCATCTTTGAAAATCTGAAAAGTTTTACGTACTGAGTGGGTCATGAACCACTTTGAAACATACTCTGTCTGACCATTCATGATGACGCACATAACATCCTTCTTATTCAGGCTCTGCCGAGAGTACTCAAGTTCATTCTTGGTGAAATACTCAAGTGCAGCCTGCACATCGAATGGGCTCAGCCTTGACCCCGTGTAAGGATCGAAATCTGGCTATACACCATGTGCTTCTCGTGGCAGTTTTGAGCCTTTTGGAGCATGTATGTTGTGGCAGCTGGGATTGCCTCTTGGATGCGTTTGTTCTCAATTTCTGGTGGCACAATAGTTAAAAGAAGGAGGGGCTCTTGATAGCAATCTAAAGCCTCATACGCTTGCTTCAAGCTGTTGAACCATTCATTGCATAATCGACAACTTCTCATATGTGATACAGCTGTGCTGACACTTCGTTGTGCATTGCTTAAAGCGGAACGAATCTTCGTCACCACGGCGCATTAAATGTGGACCTCTTTTTTTCTTTCTGTAAGACTGTCTGATGTGTAAATGTGGACCTCTTTTTTTCTTTCTGTAAGACTGTCTGATGTGTTTCTGAATGGAAGACGGGAGCTTTAGCAGTGAAACACTAGAGTAAAGGTGGACGCACCTGTTCAAGTTGCCCTTAGCTTTTTCTCCCTGAAGGAATGTCTGGCCTGCTTAATCGCACTTCTCATTAAGTGAAGAGAGGATTTCCATGAGGTGTGTAATACAGTGCTGGCACACCTCGTCGGTGTCACAAATAGCTTGACCCTCCAACAGCAGATTTCATAGAGACGCAACATACAAAAAGCTTATGCAACGAAAATTTATTTTTCTAGTCATCTTCATCTTGTGACCACGTAAATAATCGGCACATATTTATACTTGGTCTGAGCTATGTGCCCGATTCATCACGTATAGTGAACAACTATACTAAGTCAAGACGTTTGCACTGAACAGCGCCGCACTCGTTCTGTCGCTTCTCCTACTGCGCTGCCATCACTCATGAACGCCTCGTAGTTTCATGTTTCAAGCAGAGGACTGTCTAAAGCTTTTGCTCTGATAACGTGTAGCCAATCCTGTGTGTCGCATGAAGTCCATCTGGTGCCACTGGTGCCCCTGTGCAGTTCTCTATCCAGGTCATGAAGGTTGCATTTTGATGGTGACAGTGGTAGACGTGATGGACCATAAATTTAGGTGCACGTTCATGATTAACAGAGGTTCGAAATTTTCGGAGCCCCCTGCTGCAGCATCTCTCATAATGATGTAGTGGTTTTGCAACGTAATACAAGAGCTTCACGTTTTCAAACAGCCATATTGTCGAGATAATACAGGAAGAAGTTATCTGAGTGCAACGTGGAAGAAGTGATAACTGGAGACAGCATAAATGGCTGGGTAAATGGCTGAGGTAATGCCTCCAAAAGCTTATTTAGGCTGTGCATTGCACTACGTGGTTGAAGGTCCCCGTATCTGCTGCATGGGCTGCAAGGGAAACAGGCAGTGAGAAAACCCCTCTATAACAGCACAGCTGCTCAATATGGAAGCCGGCAGATAAGGGTTTCTTGGCGCCGATCACACAAGTTGTACTGTGTGTGCCTGGCTGGTTTTGGCAAGGTCATCCAAAACATCTTCTCGCGATGCTTTGCACGGTCCCAACGACAAAATAATGTTGGCGTTGTTGGCTGCAAACCGGGCATGCATTATCGCTGGGCAGCTGTCCTCTGGCCTGGCGCACTGGTGGCACCCTAACTCCACTAAATCCTCAATATAGTTTTGTTCAATTTAAGCTATTGGAATGATGTTCTTCTGCTGCTGCAAAAAATGAGAATTGGAGGTTTTAGTAGAATGCAGGCTTATGGACAACCAATGAGGGCCGTGAACCAAGCACCCTTATCAAGGACCACTTCGGCCCGCTCTATTTTTTGAATAAAGCAAATGAGTACATATAAGATTAAAACCTTGTATTGAGTGACATAAGTGAACTTCTATAAAAAATTTTGATTGGAATTGGAACCGTTTTCTTTTTTTAAAGTGACCTTTTTGAAAAAATCCACTTTTTAAACTATTTTTTTTCTTCTATCATGCTGAATTTAGGAAAAAAAAGATGATGCTGTATATTGGCACTTTTTAAAAATTTTTGTGTGAAATAAGAAATTATGCCAAGGGACATCAAAGCTACCAAACTTTTTTCATGTAGACTGAGTTTGCCATTTCATTAGAATTTTTTGTTTCTGCAGACAGCTTAAGGAAAGCATGACTGCAATTTACTGTGATGTTTAATAAAACAAGAAGGAAACACTTTTGACACATTGTTTACAATGAGCATTTAATTTGCTTGCGAAATCGGGAAATGTTGTGGGAAGCAATAGTGAGATGCACGTACCGCCACCTTCAAACATTTTTTTGGCATGCTACGATCAGTTTCTGGAAATTATATTTTAGGTTCCGTGCATCTTAAAAATACCCACATAACATTTGAAAAAAAAAAAACAGACAAAACAAAAATATCGTTCGGACATGCATGTTCGATCTCTCACAGCAGATGTTGCCCAATGTGCCCATCAGAGTCTTTTCATTCGTTTTTATTTTTATTTTATTTTTGCCAAAGTGAAGAAAAGATACTGGGCTGTCACTCTTGCATGATCGTTTCATAGAGCGCAGTGACGACGCCAAGGAGCATTTTAAAACTAATACAGGGTCCAGGATACGCGGCGACTCAAGTAGTGGCAGAACGGACACTATTGGCTTTCTGCGACACATATCTGCGCATCTCCACAGAGATCTGATACTAAGCTACAACTGACAGTTTCATTAAAACACGGAAACAGTTGTGTGGACTCTATCATCTCCTGGTTAGTTGTGAGCAGAGTGGCACTTATGCTGTCCACTCTCACGCTGCCCGGCGGCTGGTTGTATCGGGCGCACGGATTTGCCATGTGTATTGCTTGTCCCCACTTTACTCTAGACGAGCACAGATGAGCAGAGTAGCTTATTTGGTTAGCTTGGGGAAAAAAAGCAATCATCCGCCAAGCGAATTGTGCCACAATTATCTAACGGTCATCAAAACAAAGCATAAGCATCGCTTATTTCTTTTTTCCGAGTTATTTCTTTGCCAGTTGTGATGTTTAATGATAGGAACATGGATGCATGCACATACTCATGCATTTGTAGGTAGTAAGTATGGTTATCTCATTAGTACTAAATGTTTATATATGAAAACCATTGGAATGTTTATTTACCAGCAATAATTTTGATTGACAATGATGTTCGACCCTAGAAAATTGCTCCAAAACTAAGTTACTTTGCTCCAAAACAAACCTTATGGTGCTCTGAAGCTGCTCCAACACTCCAATTTTACTGCATCGAAGCTGCTCCAAACAGCATTATTCCTGCTCCCTGATCTGCTCGGAAACACTACAATCTATTTCCACCCCTGATTATGGAAAACGTGTATGAGATTTGAAAACATTAAATTTGTATGCCTTTGGGGAAGAGGTGAAAGGAAGACGCCAAGCAAAAAGTACTTTAAGAATAACAGACGTATGGGGGCCTTGTTCACAATCAATGATTTATTGCGAATAAGGCCCCCGATGGGAGCCAGAACATCTGTTATTTTTAAAGTGCTTTTTGGTCGGCGTTTTGTTTTACCCTTTTGACTACTATTATTCCCAACCAGATTATGTATTTTTGTGTTCTTTAAGAGCTGTGTCTTCTAAAGGATCCGTACCAACAGTCTGTTAAGTCATGTTGGTTCTTCTAAGTCCTTTGTTTTCATCTCTCAGATGTGGAATGCTCATGGGTTGTGCCCAATGGAATGATGCAGGAGGAGCTTTCACGTGAGAAGCAAGGCCTGGTGGAGCACTTTGTTCGTGGCCCTGGTCAGGACTGCTGCCTGTCATCCCTCTACTTCCAGGCCTGGTCAGTTTGGTTGCAAGTGACTTTGAACAGAATCGGGGGAAGCGGCATCTGTGCACTGGCCAGGGGGCTAGTGCAAAGATGCTGCTGTTGTTCGCTGTTGATATTTTCAAATTATATCCTCTTCAGGCATAAATTGCGATGCAATGTCTGTAAATGTGTCACACCTGTATGACATGATTTTAAGGCACCCAGTATTACATGGGAAGAAAGAAAATTGCTGAGATTATCTCGGGAGTGTTTGCAGCTGAGATAGATGGAGAGAGAGACGGGAGATTGTGGTAACAATACAAACACAATTTATCACACATAAATGATAAGCAAACACACACTTGCAAACACTCAAAATTAACTCAAACAAAACATGCACAGTACAGTCCACTGTTAGGGGGAATACGCGAGCGTGTGGCCGTCGCTCCGCGGGGCGCTAAGTGCTGGCGACATTCGAAGACGCAGAGCATGCGCAAAAAATCGCAAGGACCATTCGTGCTCTGCGTCGTCTGCTACTTCTTCGCCCTATACTCGGCGACAGCTTTTCTTGACAGCACTGTGGAAGCTATAGAGCCGAACCGCCTGCATGCGCACGCGCCAGGAAATAGTACCTATTTTATTTTCTGATTCTAATAGCTACTTGGCCCGAATAAATAAAACTTTCTTCATTATAAGGATAGAACAAGTATGGGACGCTGTTCATGGAAAAGAAGTCATCGTGCGCCCTAGTTTTTTTTTTCTTTTTTATTTCTTGGACGGCACCACGTTTTCCACACGCCGGCTGCGTCTGCTGCTTGCTCTTGCAGCGGTGAGCACAGCATCGGCCGTGGAAAAGCTGCTCATCGTTGGGACGCGCCGTCTTTTATACATCACGCATCGAACTTTCCAGCCTTATCACTGGTGGCCGCGCAAGCTCTGAAATAAGCTTCACTGTTTGCGTCTTGCGTGCAATCTTAACAACGATCTACAACAATTGTGAGGCTTCTCAAACACTGAGGCGCAGTCTTCGCCGATCGTTGCTGACAGCCTTTGAGGGCGTAAACCGAATACAGCAAAACTGAAACAAGACAGGCCCGTGGCCGGATCATGCCGCTACCGGCCTTCCATTTCGCCTGTACCAGGGCTCAATACCGTAAACGTTAACATTCGATCACGTGTGGCGCATACCCGTATATACTGGGCTGAACACGGAACCTAAACTTCACTGTTATAAAGGCTGAATAATGCTGGGAAAATGTTCTGAACAACGGAAAATTTTATATGTACCAGTATATAAACAGCACAGTAACTAGCTGCATGTATACACTCTCATCAAAGTTTAACTCTGACGTTCCCATTTTGCATGCATACATTTTGCTATAATAAACACACTAGCGCAGCGAGCAAGCAAAAACCGAAACTGGAACCGAAATCGGCTGCCAGCTGCCGGACTACTTGCGTAGTAACACAAATGAGCGGAGGCCCTGCCTACGTAGCCTTCGCTCCAATGTCAAGAAAAGCTGTCGCCGAGTATTGAGCTCGGTGCACGCTTACGTCGTGCTATGTTTTTGTGGTTAGGAGGAGCCGGCTACGCTCGTTGCATCAAGAACCAATTTCCTTGTCTGTTATCAAAGGTGGCTGGCTCGTTCGAGCATTGTGCAAAGCTTATGGCTAAACTTTTGGTGAGCATTCAGAGTGACAGGCTACGCAAGTGAAGTGCTTTCTTATCGATTTCACAGAACTCCGCAGCTGGAGGCGTAATTCTTCGTTGAACGAATTTTTGGTGGTGCCAGCTCTTAGAGTTGGCATGGCCAGGGTACCTGAGAATGAAAGGCTTCTCATAGTCGAACTCTACACTAACGAATCCAGTCAGTGTGCTTTGTGATAAACAAGCCACTGAAGACTGTGACGGTGCTCATGTGATTAGTCGTAACGAGCTTTTCTTTGCGTCGCTCATAATTATACCGCTGTTCTGCGATGTTAAACCCCAAGATTTATTATAATAACTGTTTATTAATATGCTTCTAAATATAATGGCATGGCTTTTCATTTTGTATCGCCTTTTTTCAAAATTCTACCGCTTTGGGCATGAATCGCATAGTAGGTTGAGAACTAGTGAGATACCACAGCAAGAAACAACCTGGGTCTTTTGTGTGCCTGCTGATTATCAGCATACCAGCGGCGACTAGAATTGCTATGCGAGAGAATGAAAGTGCTTCAAAAGCGCAGGGGCGGAAAGTAGCCGACGAAACCCGACAAGCACCGCCTTTGTGCTTTTGTGCGCGTGCACCACATTTACAAATCTTGCCACTGATTCGTGCTGCTGGCCAGGCGTTTGCGTGTTCCCCGTAACAGTGGGCCATACTGTACATAATCAAACCAGAATTGACCATTATCCAGTTCAAGTCCACCTCTAGCCCTAGCTGGTATCTAGCCAATATGGCGTCTCGGTAACCAAACCATCTTACATGGTTCACCACATTGACTCTGTGCATTTTGCCGTGTCAACAGTTCGTTGAGTCCGTCATCAACGTACTCCTCTAGCTCCTAAAATCGCCGTCAGTTGCTTCCAATCAATAAGCTGCTTGTCTTCATCATTGGTGTCTCAGTCGTCTTCGGTGTAGCTCGGTTAGGCCTAACTCGTCAATGGCACCATTCTGTCGCCAGACCCAACTGATAACGGGAAATTCGAATGAATGACTGTGGTGTGGATCACTGCTGTTCAGGCGTGAAGTGGAAGAGCTGTAGGCCCACTGAGAATTGCTGAGAAGAGGTGTGGCAAGTCTGGGCAGCCTCATTCGGGTCTCCCAAGGTGGATAGCCACTCCCCAGGCCTCTCACACCAACAGTCTTCAGGACCGGGTGGCTACTGCTTCCATTACTTTAACCACGCTGACCTCCCTGATCTTTGCAGCTCGAAGCCCCCACAGAACAATGACACCTCATTTTCTGGGAGTTTTCCACCACAGCTCAGGTCACCCACAGTGCGCACCATCGTGGGGTCACGGACGATCATCACATTCTGTCGTTTGGCACATGCCTCATGCCCTTTTACTGGTGACAAAAATAAAGGAATGTATTGTTTTATGTGAGTTTTCAGTAGTTAATTCTAATTAGCTTTTATTAAATACCTTATTATTTTACAATCAGTGAGCTTCAACTCTTGCATAACAATAGAATATTAGGCATAAAACAAGTGCACAGTTTGTTTCTTGGTTGTACTCATGTCAAGTGAAGGCAAAATACTTTTGACAATGGTCCTGGTATGTGGGACATTGGAATGATTATCGGACATGGTAGTGTCTTCGGCAAGTGATCCTTTGCAGCACACTGAAGTTAATTGACCGCTAGTTGTCCACCCAGGAAGCTTGCACAAATGTGCACATTGCATTTAAAGCTAGTTTGAAGAAATGCGCAGAACGTAACACGGCTCTAAAGTTGATGTGTACACACCACCGCTGAGGGTAATATAAGCATGTTCATGAGAATCAATCCTGCAGGCTATCTTGACCACAAAAGTTTATGCTTGTGCCCATTTAAGGTGGCCTGTTCCTGTCTGGGCCTTGAAGGGACTGTTTTGAAATGCTTGCAGCCGCCACAGCCGATGCACGCATGCCCAGGCACCCTTTGAGCTGCTTCATGGTCAGCCTCACTTCGAAGAGATGCTGGGGGGCGTGCGCTTCCGCATCTCACCCGAGTCCTTTTTCCAGGTGGGCCTACCTCTTCCTTTGTTGCTTTATGAATGTAAGCTTCACCAATCAGTTCCCCCAATAGGGAAAAGGCTGATACTATATTCTTTCATAGGTATTAAGCTTGTGCTAACATTTGAATTAATATTGCAGTATTTCAATTCACTTTGATTTGAATATAAATTATCGGAAATTTCGAAGCGTTCGAAATGAGCATACAAATTAATATTTGTCTATATGCAACCTTCTTGTAAAGATGGTTTCACCGCAATAGAGGGGTGGGGTACAGAAAATACACTTATCCAAGGGAAATTTGCACTGCCATGAAGCCCCACTTCAAGGTAAATGAATGTGTACTCTCACATTATTTCATGATTTTTTTAAATTTAGGAGCTTCTTCTACCAGCTTATATGCTCGAAGTATAATAGATTTTAAAACTTGACTCATTTCATGGGGTATCGAAAGTCAAATTCTTCTACCGTTCAAAGTTTCTTCCACTTCCTTTGAATCGGGAAGAATCACATTTGCATGGGCCTTGTTTTAGGCTTGAACAGCATACAGCGCAAAAATATAGACAAAGACTGAGGAAGAGATGACACAGCACTGAACTCTCAACGAAAATTTATTCGGCGGAACACACATATATCAAGCACAAAACCTAATCATGTGGCACACCATAGCATCTGGGCCGCAGAGCAAACAGAGTACAAAAAAGATCTAATCATGGCAAAAAGCTGCATGTATAAACACCCGAAAAAAAAAAAGAAGGAAAAAAAACAAACGTACTGGCAAAAACATGCGCAACAGTCCACAAAAAGTAATAATCACTTTAACCTGGTAGCGCTGAATACATTCCGTGGTAAATTGGCGGCATGGGACTGCCAGACATAAAGTTAAGGTCAACCCGCCCCCTTCTCTTTTTTTTTTTAATGGACTGTTTCGCATGTTTTGCCAGTAGGTTTGTTCTTGGGTGTTTGCACATGGGTAGCTTTTCCCCATGATTAGTACATTTTGTACTCTGTTTACTCTGTGGCGCAGACACTATGGTGTGCTGCGTGACTAGGTCCTACGACTGATATATGTGTATTCCCTCAAATAAATTTTAGTTGCGAGTTCAGCGCTGTGCCGTCTCTTCTTCCGTCTGTGTCGCTATGTTTGCGCTGTTTTTACATAGAAGCATGAACCACCAACTAGCCCAGCTTTTGCTTCTAGTGCTTTTTTTTTTCAATTTTTGAAGGAGTATTGTGCAGTTTAATTGAGTCATCGCAAATACGCTCTATTTTTATTAATAATATGTGATGTGTACTATTTGAAGTCGATTCGAATTAAATTGACCAAATAATGGTTTTCTTCAAGCCTAACATTTAGTATTCGCACAAGCCTTATTATTCAGCATAAGACAAATTTTACGCTCTCTTTAGGCAGAGGGGCCAGGTGTGTCCTGTCACAACGCTTCCTCCTTGAAGCTTTGCACAAATAGCCTCGGGAATTAGCCTGCCTTTGACTTACGATGTGGCATCACTGATATACTAGTTTAAAACTCAGAAAAGGAAGCAGTCAAAAAAAAGGATAGGAAAGAAACATTGACATACCGTAACAACTCTAATATGGATCGGATCAGAACTTCCACACCCCTGACTTAGGCTACTAAAATTTAAAAAAGTACGTGGAACAGCCGAGGTATCTAAAGATGCCTTTACCGTGAAAGAAACGCAGTTTCAATTGGCGAAGAGTCAAAATGTCGTTTATTTACATGTGCTTAGATGTAGGTTCCACATGGCAGAAAGGCAAAAGGTAGGCTCAAGCATTATCTTCGTAAAACATCAGAACCGTCTTGACAGCCTCAATTTGGATGCACTGTAACGTCATTGACAACAATCGCGACACGAGCGCGGCTCCTGGATAAACTCTGCTACCTTTGTCTCCAACTCTAGATACGCTGTGGTCTGGCACGAAAACAGTTTCGTTTGATCCATGTGATCCCGCAGTGTCCACCAATAGTGAATGCTTCTGTGGTGCACTCGATCCGCCTACTGATCATACGTGCCGCTGTAACCAGAGCTGCCGGCATCGCAGGAAGCAACAAAGAAATGGCATCTGGCGAAATTGGAGGGACGAAAACACTCGGGCAAGAATAAACTTTGTGTTATTGTTTCTACCTCACGGCTCCTGCTCGTGTTCACGGGTACTAACATGCCACCGCATCTTTCATGCACTTCAGACCAGATTTCTTCATGCCTTGGTGAACTCGATCGCTTTTTCTTAAACACTACAAAAAACAGTCATTGGCCACCAGTCCAGAGCAAGAAAAAAGCAGCTCACTGCCCAAACACATTCACAAGACAACAACAACAACACAAAATTAGGTTGCCCCTCAGCACACAGCACAAGGCTTGTAGTAAACAAAGCAACGCTATTGATGGTGATGAAGGCAGCTGACTTCAGCTGCCCATAGTGGTCAGACTTTAAGAGTCTTTCTACCAATGACCGATATATAAGATGGGCGTATATTTTTTGTGGCTGTTTCCTGGAAGAAAATACTAAAAAGTTTCCACCTATACTATTTCGGTTATTACGGTAGTCACGATGGTGTCAGAGGATGCCATTATTGATGCTTCATTTAGGCGAGAGGACAAAGAAGAGGGCCACAGCTCCCTCGTGGCGATGGAGGACTTTATGAGACAGTCACATTGCTCAGTTGTTTTAGCATTAAAGGGAGATGCGAATCGGAAAATGCAAGGTCTTTTTTTTTTGTAAAATTACATATCTTTTGTTTTATTTGCTTTCACTTAGTTTCTCTACTTTCACGACAAAAAACTGAAGATTGTAATGAAACTCATCCAACTCGTCTGTTATGCATTCCCAGTTTCTGCACTTGTGATAAATCATGGTTTAGTGGGTGCATTGCTGCTTGCAAAGTTATAATGATTTGTGGCATTTCTTGCAAATTAGCTTGTGCGAATATTTGAACAAGTAGTAGCGAGTTCAAATTTAATTTAATGGTGATTTCTAGGCATTCGAAATGAGTGAAAAGTGCAGATCAGTTCACATGTAACCCCCTATAAAATTTGTTTCACTGCATCAGAATACACCTTTCCAGAGAAAATCTGCTGCTGCCACAAAGCCCCATTTAATGGTTAATTGAACATGTTACCGTGACATAGAATTTTTTTAAGTTTGTTATACTTCTTATACTGGCTTATATGATGTGAGTGTAGTAAATTTTAATCTTTTAATGTCTGGATAATGAAACAGCCAAACAAAATAAAAAGTGTTTATATGGCAAAGTTAGTGGCTAATTCTAACTATGTTGCAGGTAAATAGCCCAGTGGCAACATATATGTATGATGCTGTGCGACAATTGCTCCATCTAAAGCCTCAGGACACCCTGCTCGATGTTTGCTGTGGAACAGGTGAGTGAACTGCTCTCTATTACGATGCTATAAAATGACACCAAAGGAAACATTGGTGCTCTGAGAACTCTAATGCCACAAGTTTTGCTATTGTAAATTCATTATTAGCAGGGACAACCAAGGTCGAAGTTTCGTTTGTAAATTTCGCACGTAACGTCATTTTTTATTGATAGACTTGATGAAATTTTCAAAAACTTGGTATGTCAAGTCCTTGGCACCCAAAAATGACAATGTACTTAATTTTTACCGATTAGAAACTACATAGGGCCCAGCAGATGGCCTCAAAATCTATGATGTCACAGTGTTTGGTGTGGAAATCTCAAGGTGGTATTTCCACTCACTTTCTTTTCTTTTTTTCACTCGTTTTCTTGCTTACCGAACATCATCTTGCGGTAAGAGTGATGCTTCCAGGAATGTGATACTTTACTTTACTAATAGGTGACAAATACAGTCCTACCCACTTATAACGATCCCAAGTATAACGACCATATTTCGGTGCACTTACGATTTTCCCATGCCAAACTAGGTCCACATATGTACAGCGAACATTTTTCAAAGCCTCCTACCTTTGCAACGAACATTTTTGACACAGTCGGGGCAAAAATATAGCGCTTACGAAGTGAAAAAACAAGTCAAAACGAGCTTTCTGAAGTATGTGATAGACGCGCTTGTGTGTGCATCGCACGCAGATTTCGGACGTCACGAGTGAGGTCGCTCACTTGTGTAAGCGATTCTTAAGAGAGGGGAAAGAAAATAAAAGTGAGCCCTGTAACTGTCTTCATCATAGTGCGACAGCTAAACAGTGGCTCACGAGGGATAGTGGTAAGGAGGGATTAAAAGGGATCATCATCATCATCATCAGCCTGACTACGTCCACTGCAGGACAAAGGTCTCTCCCATGTTCCGCCAGTTAACCCGGTCCTGTGCTTGCTGCTGCCAATTTATACCCACAAACTTCTTAATCTCGTCTGCCCACTTAACCTTCTGTCTCCCCCTAACCCGCTTCTCTTCTCTGGGAATCCAGTTAGTTACCCTTAATGACCAGCGGTTATCCTGTCTACGCGCTACATGCCCGGCCCATTTCCATTTCTTCTTCTTGATTTCAGCTATGACATCCTTAACCCCCGTTTGTTCCCTAATCCACTCTGCTCTCTTCTCGTCTCTTAAGGTTACACCTACCATTTTTCTTTCCATTGCTCGCTGCGTTGTCCTCAATTTAAGCTGAACCCTCTGTGTAAGTCCCCAGGTTTCTGCTCCATAGCTAAGTACCGGCAAGATACAGCTGTTATATACCTTCCTTTTGAGGGATAGTGGCAATCTACCTGTCATAATTTGAGAGTGCTTGCCGAATGTGCTCCACCTCATTTTTATTCTTCTAGTTACATTAATCTCGTGGTTCGGCTCTGCGGTTATTACCTGCCCTAAGTAGCATAGCCTTTTACAACTTGAAGTGCACTATTACCTATCTCGAAGCGCTGCTCTTTTCCGAGGTTGTTGTACATTACTTTCGTTTTCTGCAGATTAATTTTAAGACCCACTTTTCTGCTCTGCTTGTCTAACTCTGTAATCATGAGTTGCAATTTGTCCCCTGAGTTACTCAGCAATGCAATGTCATCGGCGAAGCGCAGGTTACTAAGGTACTCTCCATTAACTCTTATCCCTAACTGTTCCCATTCTAGGCTTCTGAAAACCTCCTGTAAAGAGATAGGGAGGATTAATTAAAGGGATAGGTATAGAGATGGGGCAGGGACAGAGAGACCTACAAACGGAAATAAGGAGAAGATAGGAAAGATGGACACGGTCGCAGGAGTCCGAGGACGGGGCACCACTCAGTGAGAGCTCTTGTCAGCGGCAGGAGATGACATAGGGCAAGCCAGTCGACCAGAGCTACGCTGTCGTCGGAGATCCCGGGGGTGCAACCATTCGGCACGAAATCCAGAGACAGACGTTTCTTTATCGGCAGCACAGAAGTGAAGGGAAAAAAACAAAAAGACACTATAGGAGGCAGTATGGAGAATTGCAGTCACGCACAGCAAACTTTTCTGACGCCAAAAGGATCTGGTTTTGGGCTAGTTGGCGCATACTTGGTGCAGAAGACTGAGGCGCAAAAAACATATCGTGAAGCAGGAAGAGCAGTTCTTACCATCTATGACCGCCGACAATAAAACAACAATGCCTTCAAATGCAAGCCATAATTGCAAGAAGCGGTAGTCGTTATTGCACAAATAGTGTTGAGCATGCAGTCTCGCATCAACGCGATGCATGGTGCCTACAACCATTTAAATTTCTGAATGTTATAAAAATTCAACATCCAAAGACCTGCATTGCCAATTAAGGGGAGATGCGAGTCGAAAAATCGCGTTTTTAGCGAAATTTCTCGTATTTCTGATTTTTATTGCATTGTAATCTTCAAACTTTCTTCTTTCATCTGTGAAAATTTCAAAACTAAATTCGAACCGCAAAATGCAAAAAAATGTGTATGAAGGCATCGTGGTGGCTCAAAATTTCGTGAATTTGCGCCGATATTGGTCATCTTTGACTGCGCGCTGCTCCCCGTCGCTACAGTGAACTAGAAGGTTTTTAGTGGCAAGAGCGAAGCGGGCGTCTATAGGAGGCGCTGTGACGAAAAAAGCTGTCCGCCGCGCGTAGTGCTGCAGTCAGATTCGCGAGGCCAGCCAGGCAGGCTCGACCGGCGAGTTGACTGCTATCAGGGCGCTTTGCTGCTGTGGCTTTCGATTCTTCTTGTATCTTTTTTCTGTGCTGGAAGAAAACGTTCTCGGTACCACCATGAACAAGAAAAAGAAGACAGATACGCACTGTTTCGCCCCGGGTTGCCGGTCAGGCTACTCCGGCCATCGCGTTGAAAACGGGCGGAAGATTTCGCTCTTTTCGGCACCAAAGGACGAAGACCGACGAAAGGTTTGGGAGCGGAACCTCAAGAGGAAAGACAAACCTCTAACGGACACATCCGCGGTTTGTGAAAAACACTTTGCAGACCATTTTGTCGTTCGTGATTATGTCCACATCATCGGTGGCAAGGAGGTACGAATCGCTCGAGGAAAGCCTGGTCTTACTGCAAATGCAGTGCCAACGTTTTTACCTGACCTGCCCGCATACCTTTCCACATCTGTGAAAAAACCAAGGCCCGAGCGAAAGCGCTGCTTAGTTTCTACGTCTGGATCGGCGAAGAAAGTTCGTCTCTCTCGTCGCGATGAGCACGAAGCGAGCTTGCTCGGCGAAGAGAATTCTGACCCGAACACGAGCCCTGCCGAAAACATGCAAGCGAGCCCGCTCAAATCAGGTGACTTAAGGGACCTTGCCACCTGCTTAAGTGTTTCAAGGCTGTGGACGAAACTGACCACTCCAGACCTTGATCTCCTTGTGTATGCCACTACACGCACAACAAAACAGCCTTTCAGTGTCTCCCACGAGAAAGTGATCTGTTTCAGCTTAGATAGCAACAGTGATGTGTGTAGCCCCGCCGCGGTGGTCTAGTGGCTAAGGTACTCGGCTGCTGACCCGCAGGGCGCGGGTTCGAATCCCGGCTGCGGCGGCTGCATTTCCGATGGAGGCGGAAATGTTGTAGGCCCGTGTGCTCATATTTGGGTGCACGTTAAAGAACCCCAGGTGGTCTAAATTTCCGGAGCCCTCCACTACGGCGTCTCTCATAATCATAGAGTGGTTTTGGGACGTTAAACCCCACAGTGATGTTGTGGCAAGCTGTTATCTCGGTGCGAGAGAAAAGAAGTACGGCAAAATCACCTCCCTTCTTGAAGCAACGAACATATTTCAAGAAGTTGACACTGCATTGCTTTGTTCAAGCGCTATGAGCAAAGACGCTTATGACGGCCTTGCTCAGAACCTGACCGAGAAGATGAAGCGCACCCTCACCCCCGCGAGTGACGGCGTGTTCAGCAAGAACTGTCTTGGAATGGTGACAGTCAAAGGTGTGTGTTAATATTTTTAATAAGAAACAATGTACTATCTGTTCTAGCTAACATAGCCTGCTACTTTTTTTTCATAACCTAAGCATAGCCTTTGTATCTAAAGCAACCTGCATTAAAGGGAAATAACACTAGTCAGGACCTGTTAGCTATTACCCACTTTGTAATAGCTCTGGAGTTTATTTTTCCTCCAATTATCTGTTAGCCCTTGTTTCCATGTCTTGCAAATAGTTCGAAGTAAGGAAGTGGCTTATTTTATGTTTTACGTTTTTCAGGAACCATCTGTGTTCATTGTCGCTATTTGCGAAAGTCGCTGCTGGCACGGAAGTCCAAGTTGAAGAAAAAACGTGTCACGCATAACTTGTCTCACAACCTGCGAATGACCAATCAGAAGACAAAGCGAATTGCTTCACGCTTGTGTACCCTGGCAGGCCAAGTACGAGCCATGAAAGAAGAAAACTCCAGGCTAAGTGATGAGACTTTCCTTGGCCGAATTAAAGAACTCCCCCCAAAGCAGCAAGAGGCTGCTTGGGGGGAGTTCTACACATGTTCAAGGCTGCGAAGAGGAAGAGTGTTAGAGGGATGATGTACTCGAAGGAGTGGATTTTGGAATGCCTCATCATGCGCATGAAAGGGCCAAAGCTTTACGAGGATATGCGGAGGCAGAAAGTTCTTGTTTTGCCGAGCAAGGTTACTCTTCAGAAGTATCTCAGGTCGTACAGGACGGGATTTGGCTTTAATGCCAAAGTGATGAGCATGCTCAAGCAGAAAGCGTCTTCCATCGATGCCTTCAAAAGGCACGGAGGGCTCATCGTTGACGAAATGAAACTGTCCAAGAATCTGTCAGTCTCATCGTCAGGGCACATACAAGGCTTCGTGGACATGGGCCAGTTCACCCCCAGCAGTGACAAGCATAAAGTGGCTGACCATGGGATGGTCATAATGTTTGTGCCGTTCATTGGCGAGTTGACCCAAATACTTGCTTCTTTTGCCACGCAGGGCAACATGAAAGGAAATTTGCTCTCGAAAGTGATGCTGGAGGCAGTGATTCTAGCG